CACCCTGGACAGGGCTCGCCCGCAAACGGCCTCCGCGGGCGCGAGACCCGCCGCAGGGGGCGTCGCGCCCCGCTCCGCTCTCCAGCCCTTTGTTCTGGACCCTCCCACCGACACATGTTCACGGTGGCTTTTGCTAGGAGGGTCCTCAAAGCCGAGGGGTGGCGGCTCAGCCACCCCTTATTAATGCACTAGAAAGTTGAACGCGTTCACATGTAAAAGGGCCGTCCACACAAACCTAGGTGGATCTCTAGCAATCAGTTTTACGTTACAGGATGTATCTGTGCCAAAGGCTTGCAGTGATTATGACATTTATCAGTTCTCTGTATTTATGTCTCACTGTACGCAAAACACCATCATCCTAAAACCTGCGCTCAGAATTTAATATTCTAGAGGATTATCTTCCAGAAGGGAATCCGCTTCCCTTCTCTTTTTTTGCTTAACATATTTGGCAAATGGCGTTAGTGGTCTTTTGAACATGCAGCAATTTAATGTTAAATTTCTTTTCTCTAAATGCTTAGCACATTTTGAAATGTACACTTGAGGTGGATCCTGAGGTTTTCAGGGCTGCAGATGAAGTAATGCAAGAAGGACTCCTTCCTAGACCCCGCAGTTTTAGAGGGAGCATCTTGTCCTTAACTATTCAAATGTTGGACATTTGTGCATCCTCTGAGTTTAAACAGCCTCGTAAGTTTTTGCATGACAGTCCACCATTACTGGCTAGATTTAATGGGATAATTACGAAGTATTTAAGACTGCGATTGCAATTACTTTAAAATATTGGCTGAAGAAAGCTTTTTAGATCAGGGTGGGCAGTGACATGGCAGGAACACTTCATTTCAGTCACTAGTGTATTGATTATGTGATATCTTTTCCTAAATTTGATTTGATTGCTCTGTTTCCCCCAAATACCAACACAGTGTGTGTGTGTGTGTGAGAGAGACAGAGAGAGAGAGAGAGAGAGAGAGAGAGAGAGAGAGAGAGTGTGTTTTCACCATTACTGTATTGATAAAGTAGATTCGGAGATGCAATGTACTGAAGACACACTGTGCAACTTTTTTTTGCCTTGTCTCAATCAAACTGGTGTGAAGCTTAGGAAGTTAACTGGGGTAGGCTGCTAACTGGTCCAGCATGGTCTGATTTATCAAGCACAGCCTCCTAATAATACCCTTATTGGTGTGTTCTCCCTTCTTGGTCAAAAAAATGAAGGACAAAAAAAGCAGCAGAGAGAGATTGGGGGGAATATGGCGCGCTTTCTCTGTGGCAGACCTTAGACGTCCAGCCTGTGAGGATTTAGCTGCTCTCCTTGTGATGCTCAAAGAGCTCTCTCCCGTGATTATTTGGGAGGTGGCGCATTTCCCTGGGGATGTTATTTCAAGTCCTCCCAGTGGAACTGGAAAGAAGGAAAGAACAGGTATTCACTCACCTGCTGTGCATTGACGGTTTACCAGCCGGGTGCTGAAGGAGGAGTTGGACAGTCCTTGAAACATATTTAGTTTCCAACAGGTGCCATTCAGGATTTACAAATGCCTCTGTGGGGGAAACACGAGCAGAGCAATGAATACACCCTTTGGCAGGAAGATTTATCTTCCTTTGCCCATAATCCCTAATACTACATAAATAACACTTGGTTTTAAATAAGGGGTGCAATTTGTCAAGTGTGCTGTGGTACAAAGAGCACTTCTGGGGTTCTGGGCTCTGTGAAAACTGCACTGAAATGAATGGTTATTTCGCAACAGCCTTTGGAAGGAGAATGTGAGTTTGATCGGTGAAATCTGTACTGCTTAGAAATCACTTGGGTGTTCAGCTCCTCTCAGACTGACTAATGATTTCATTTCACAGTTTTTCAGCCAGCAAATCTACACAAGCCTCACTAATACCAAGGGTACCAAATTCAGCAATGCAGGCCGTATTTGATTTTGTTTTTCAAGGATCTTTCACACAAGAGAATATGTATGATTTGGAATTGATTAACTTTATTTTAACCTGCACAAGATAAATCTAACCAGGCAATAGTAATCTTATTTATTGACAATGATACAGGGGAAAATTTGCAAGCCATCTAAAAATAGGATGATTTTGCAGTGAACAATCAATATTTCATGTATATATGCTACAGTCTCGTGGTGTGGTTCATTCTGTAATTCTGTTCACTTTATCTGGAAAGTTGCTGGTCTTGGTGATCAGGACAGGCTGGGGCCACTTCTGGAAAATCCCCATCCCTTGCTGCTTTAGGGAGATGTCAGTCAGAGCTTCCATCAGAAATCGAGTGGCATTTTCAATCCCAGGCCACAACAATCATGTTTATGGACAGGCTGTAATTTCACATGGAGTTTTCCTGCTCACAAGAGGTTCATCCTGGTTAAAAAAAACCCAAGACTCTAGAGAAAGTGGAAGGGGAGATGAAGCACAACTGTTCCAGTTCGATGCCCCGTCTCTCTTACGTTGTCCTCCTTAATGCTCTTCTTGTTGCAATCAGTTGCCGTCATGCTCCTGCCTATTTTGCTGAACCCAGCCTAAAATGTTTTTATTTCATTCAACTACTCCTTCTTCTACTTCACAGATATCTGTGGCCTCTACTTTAGGTACCTTCTCTTGTTCAACTGCATTAGTCTTTCTAGCTGTATGGAAATTGGAACTGTCTAGACACTTTTGAATTATTCCCATTTGTTTGGTTATTTTGCAGTCTAAACATGTCATTTTTTGAGATACACACACATCCCTCAGTGCTCATTCCTGAGTACAAGTACGTGGATCTTCTTTACGAGTTTATTTCACAGGCAGAGGGACAATATATTATTTTTATTTTTCAGAATGTGAATTGCAAAGTAATTTTTCTTCTATTGAAAATAAAAGGCAAATATTTAGTAGAGTAGCATTAGCCATTTATATTTCGAAAATCAATGAGAGGATACCTAACTTAGCATTAACCTGAAGGTTGAGAAATATTCAGTTATTTAATCCTGTTTTTATTTCTGTTCATAATTACCCCTTGTGTCTTCTTTTCTTTAAATTTATTTATTTATTTATTTAATCCCCTCCCATCTCCCCCTAATGGGGGACTCTTGGTGGCTCACAACTCATTAAAACAATAAATAAATATACAATTACATAAAACCTAAAACCTAAAAAAGAAAGAGCCCAGGAGGCCGATGGTTCAGAGCAGCAAATGCCAGGCCTCCAAGGGGCTAGCCATCCCCACACTTGATGTCTTCACTCCCCACCCCAGATGGCAGAGCCAGATCTTCAAATCCCTCCAGAAGGCC